CAATTGTGTTTGGGACACAGTTAATACAGGATGGCTCCAAGGTCTCTGTCTCCCCGCCACGAAGGTTCAGACCTAGTCCTCGGGGTCAGACAGGGAACAGACTTCAAGCCCCAAGCCTTTGCCCTCTATGCCTAGAAGTTTCCAAACCCAACCTCCAACGCCTATCAATGCCCATACCCAAGGTTGAAAGGAGGTGGGGTGGGGCTGGGAAGGAGAGGAGAGGAGGATGGAAGGCTAGTGGCTACATCGGAAGGAAATGACTTGCATTTGGGAGGCCAAGGAAATAGGAAGAGCCAGTCTATGTACATTCCAGGAGACTTGTGTTTATAAGCAAAGTAGGAGAAATCAATGGGAGACGTTCCCCCTCCCTTTTCATATGGTTACCTCAAATTTGTCGAGGACTTTATAGAGTTCAGAAGCCACTTTATATATGTGTATCAAAGAGCAACTGACTGGATAGATGGGCCAGGGACCAAGAACCACCCCATTGGTAGGTGGAGGGATGGGGAGTCATAGTCCAGGTCTGCCAACTCCTATTCCAGTGCTCCTTGGTCCTGACACCCCTCTCTCCTTCTCTGGCATGGATTCCCATCTGGGCCTAATTACTACACTGAAAGCAGAAAAGACAACGACAAGCTTGCTGGAAAACACAGGGCAGGGAAATCAGGGAAGGCAAGAAGGACTGAAATGTTTCTGGAAGAGCTCATTCCAGAAACCTTTGGGTTAAAAGCACCCATCAGCATTTGCTGACTAAGCCAGAAATCCGTGGGAATTCTATGAGGCGCAGTATTATAACAGCGACTCCTATCTTGGGTGACTGGTGTGTGCTGCCTGTTTTATGTGCATTGCTTCTTTTTATTCCTTGCAATAAGCTTCCAAGGCAGGTGTCATTAACCCAATTACACCACGTGCCTCTAGAAAGCAAGGCCTAGGCCTCTCGGCACTTCACATCCATGCCGTGGTGGCTGCCGGATACTTATAAAACACATTATAGGCCTGAATAGGCCTGAACCCCAGAGCTCCTTAAGAGGGCAGAGCTGAGAGGGAATCTTAAGACAGTTAGCAAAAGGGGCGAGTGCAGGAGACAGGGCATCTCTAGTCAGTGAAAGGAAACCTTAACAGAGTAAGTTGAAAGGGCAAGAAGGTTGTCCCAAAGTCCGTGGGAGCTCTACGGATCCGGAGGCTCTGTGCATCAAGTCAAGCGCAGTGGAGAGAGATGCCCTAGCGAGGCTGCCGCTCTACCTGGGAAAATGCTTCATCAGCGACTTCGCCCTCTCCAGTCGCTGCAGCACTTTTTAAAGTGACAGTAACCTACGTTGCAGGAGTCAGAGCTCATCGGAGGACGGTCTAAATTCAGCCCTAAAGAATGTGACTGGTGACAGCTGATGGAAACTGCTCTAGCCCTGTCTTCAGTGGAAATAGCCACAAGGCGGTCGTCCCCCCCGCTTTTTTTTTTTAAACCAAGTGCCCCCTGGTCTCTCTTTCAACAGTTTTTTTTTTTTTTAAAGAAACCAACCCGCGCACTGCCCAAGCGCTCCAGGGACGCCCTGCCCTGCTCGCCCTAGCACCGAGGGCCGGCTGTCCCGAGTGATTATTGCGAGCTATTCGGGTGGTTTATGAGAACTGACACTTCCTCTCCAGCTTCTTTGATCTGCCACTTGAACAGTTAACGTTAAAAGCCCGCTCTGTCCCACCGTTGCCGCGACTGTCGTAAATACCACGGGGCAGGCCCCGGTGCTTCATAAAAAATGAGAGCAAGACGCGCTCCGCTGGCAGCTTCGGGCACCCAGTGACCCCAGATTGCAGCAAAGGGGTGTGGGAGTGAAAAGGGGGCGCACTGTCCAACCCCTCTCTTCTTCCCCAGCGCCGGCCCCAAGCACGCCTGTCCCGGGGTGGGGGTGTCGGGGAGGGAGGGGAGAGGTTGCTCCGGGTCACTGGCACCCCACCCCACCGCGCCCAGGAAAGCTGCAAATTCATTGCTCCCTCTCATCTTCCGGCGACGGGCGTCCCGGGGAGCGCCCGGTCCAGCGCCTCATTCTCAGCCTCGGCTGGAGGTTCGGCCGCTACAACTTCTCCCCCCAAAGGGCCCCGGTTCCCGTCCCACCACCGGCGTCCACCCGCCCCGCAGCTTGGGGCAGCGACCATGGCCCAGCACTTCCATCCTTGGAGCCTGAGAGCCGGGGAGTTGATAAGACAATGTGAACAAAGAGGAGCCGGGCGCGAGGGGCTTGCGGGTGGGCAGCAGGGGTGTGTGTGCGCGTCGCGGG